AACCTCTTTAACAAGTGGTGCTGGGAAAACTGGTCAACCACCTGTAAAAGAATGAAACTAGAACACTTTCTAACACCATACACAAAAATAAACTCAAAATGGATTAAAGATCTAAATGTAAGACCAGAAACTATAAAACTCCTAGAGGAAAGCATAGGCAAAACACTGACATAAATCATAGCAGGATCCTTTATGACCCACCTCCCAGAGTAATGGAAATAAAAGAAAAAATAGACAAATGGGACCCAATTAAACTTATAAGGTTTTACACAATGAAGGAAATTATAAGCAACGTGTAAAGACAGCCTTCAGAATGGGAGAAAATAATAGCAAATGAAGCAACTGACAAAGAATTAATCTCAAAAATATACAAGCAACTCCTGCAGCTCAACTCCAGAAAAATAAATGACCCAATCAAAAAATGGGCCAAAGAACTAAACATACATATCTCCAAAGAAGACATACAGATGGCTAACAAACACATGAAAAAATGATCAACATCACTCCTTATCAGAGAAATACAAATTAAAACCACAATGAGGTACCATCTCACACCAGTTAGAATGGCTGCTATTAAAAAGTCTACAATAAATGCTAGAGAGGGTGCAGAGAAAAAGGAACCCTCTTACATTGTTGGTGGGAATGCAAACTAGTACAGGCACTATGGAGACCAATGTGGAGAATCCTTAGAAAACTGGAAATAGAACTGCCATACGACCCAGCAATCCCACTGCTTGGGATACAAACCAAGGAAACCAGAATTGAAAGAGATACATGTACCCCAATGTTCATCGCAGCACTGTTTACAATAGCTAGCACATGGAAGCAACCTAGGTGTCCATCGGCAGACGAATGGATAAGAAAGGTTGTGGTACATATACAGAATGGAGCATTACTCAGCTATTAAAAAGAATGCATTTGAATCAGTTCTAATGAGGTGGATGAAACTAGAGCCTATTATACAGAGTGAAGTAAGCCAGAAAGAAAAACACCAATACAGTATACAAACGCATATATATGGAATTTAGAAAGATGGTAACGATGGCCCTATATGCAAGACAGCAAAAGAGACACAGATGTAAAGAACAGTCTTTTGGACTTTGTGGGAGAAGGCAAGGGTGGGATGATTTGAGAGAATAGCATTGAAGCATGTATATTATCATATGTGAAATAGATCGCCAGTCCAGGTTTGATGCATGAGGCAGGGTGCTCAGGGCTGGTGCACTGGGATGAACCTGAGGGATGGGAAGGGGAGGGAGGTGGGAGGGAGGGTCAGGATGGGGAACACATACAACCATGTCTGATTCATGTGAATGTATGGCAAAAACCACCTCAATATTGTAAAGTAATTAGCCTCCAATTAAAATAAAAAATACATAAATAAAAAAAATACTTTACAAGTAAGCTTAAATCACTCTTTCACATAATAACTTAAAACACTCATCAAAAAATTTTACATGTCCCAAAGAGAACAGAAATCATATATTTAAACTCACTCTTATCAAAGGGCCCACCGCTTTCTTCCCTTAAGCAGAGTCTGAATGCAATCAATTATCGAGTGCTCTAATTTTGATCTATTATTATAGATTCAGCCCAAGTACACAGAAAAGAGTTAACATAGCAGGCCTAAAACTACTAAAAGGTAGGCAGTCTTCAGGAAACTACTCAGAAAGGCCTGCTTGCACGGCTGGTCCTTGGCTGGCACCAGGAAACTTTACTGGTAAACAGTTCCCTACACTGATAGAAAACTTTCCCTAAATGACGAGGGTGGCTCACTATGCCTAAATTACTTATATAAATAAATTGGATCACAGTGAGTATCTACTTTCCTTCTGGAAGTCTGGAATTCTGGTACATGCTAATCAGAAAGTGCCTACGTGACCAGCGCATAATAAAAGCCTTGGTTGCTGAGCTGCTCAACAGGCTTCCCTGGCAGAAACACTGCACACATGTTAGTGCATTTCTACTGCTGGGGATGCTCTGTGTGACTGATCAGGGGAGGGAGAAAGCAGAAGGAAGCCTGCATAAGACTCCTCCATAAAATTCCTTATGCTAATTTTAGAAAGGCTACATATCCTTATTATCTCAGCCATAACCTTATGCTGAATCCTGTGATCTAGTGACTTCCAACACACCATCCATTTTTTGATATTAAGTAGCCAAATCATATAGGCCACCTGTGTTTTCCTTGACGTTTCAAAATGCATTTTACAACCACGATTAAATATATTTACATTTTAACAATTAGATGTTTTTGGTTGTAATTAAATCACTGGATTAGAACTATCCATAAATGAGGCTACATCTATCATAAAACTTACAACTCAGTAACTATTTCTGGCTTAGAACAAAATGTCAGGCTGGTATTTAAGCAAAATAATACACTTTCCCAACTAGGCGGGTTTGTCTTGCTTTGTTTTTGAGAGGGCACATTTCTCCCCCTAAAAGAAAAAAATAGTATATTTGTTTTCTAAACTTATTCCCAGTGAGACACTCTTCTTCATAGTGATAGTTCTTTTTAGATATTTAATTGTTACTTGCAGTTAAAATATCTTATATCCCACTTTCAGTTAATGACATTACTATCAAGTTCCAGGCTACTAAAAGCAGGTATGCATACTTTTCAACTACAAATATTTCATGTAATTCTCTCTAGTTGTGAGAGAGTTAACTTAGGCTGGTTGATAGGAAGTCAAGGCCCCTTTAAGGAGGAGGAGAATATTCTTTCTTTTTCATAGTCTTTTTCCTTAGTCATGTAGATGCTTCTTTTAAGCCCCCAACCAGTATTGCAACAGGTATTACAACGATATATCTTGCTTGAGACCTAGCCTTTCTTTAGGTCTGGAACTAATGATTACACAGTGCAATAATACAGCTTACTCATGGGTATGCTTTTCTTAGACTCTGTTAGTGATTATAATCACAAAAAATCTTGCCTGGGAACCTGTTTCTTAAGACTTGTACCCCTAATTACACATCAACAGTGTATCTTTCCTGGAACCATCCTCCCTGGCTAATCTTGTGCCCTGGCTAATCTTGTACAGAAGTTATCTCAGGATGTATGCCTTGGAAAAGGGTCTGGTGGAACTCTTACAACCTTGAGGTATTCTTTTTATCTATTCTCAGCAGCTAGTTGAGAAGTATATAATGCCTTGCTTAAACTAGTGGGGGTGGGTACTCTCCTACCCACTTCTGGTGCCTTTCACTGAAGGCTTTCTCTACCGCTATTACTTTAATAAAACTGTTGCACCAAGCTCTGAGTGACTGGGACCCCGTCTTTGGTCCCAGAGTGAATTCCTCTCCTTTGGAGACCACGAACTTCAGCACTGTTGACCGTAAGCTATGGTGACTTCAACAAGGGTAAAAATCCTTTGGTGGCCCACTGTAGCCAACCTCCAGCAATTGTGCCTCAGGAACAAGACAAAGCATATACATGCTGCTACATCTGAACTGACTAAAGTAATTCTCTAGGTACAATTAGAAAATGAGGGAGTTTCTCCTAACAAACTATAACCACTGATTTTTACCATATTCTCTAATACTTCTCCAAATGCATACTTACATTCATGCCTGCTGCCAGGGACATTTCAACACTCAATCTTCTGTTATGCTCTTTTCCATGGAAACAAACCAGGCTTAAAGGCCTTGAAAGAATCCATTGCAACTTCTGTGACTAAAAATTATGCTTGGTAAGGAAATGATGAGTCAACTGTGTAAAGGTAAATTACAAGGATAATCATCATAGCTAACATATAATGAGAGGGAAATAATCTTCAACATGCCAATTTAATTTACTACAAGAAACATACCCATCTATCTAACCAGAATATTTGTTTCCACACAGGAGCATATTCTTTGTTTATAGCCAAATTACAATCATGAAATTGTTTAATCAGGACAGAATCTGAACAGGAGGCACAATTAAACAAAATATGTGCTCAATAACATCAAACACATTCATGTCTATACTCTAAAAATTTAACAGTGATTTTAGTTGAATGATAGGATTACAGCTTATCTTAACTGCATTCTTTATATCCTTGTATTATCTGAATTAGTTATAAAAGTACCTCTCTATTTTATAACCAGGAAAAAAAGTACTTCCATTTTGAAATAAGCTAGGAAAAATAACCAGCTATTAAAATTAATAAGAAATTGTGGCTACATATGGCATAAAATTCCTAAGGAATAACATAACAAATATTGGGGGGAATCTATGTGATGAAAATTATGATTAGGACATAAAAAAACTTGACTAAATATCTCTAGAAGAACTGTTACAAGCATGTTAATTCTTACCAAATGAATTTACAAATCAGATGCTATTTACAATAACTATTCTTAAGTGAGTTTATTTTTTTTTTAGATGAAGCAGAATTTTACAAAGTAATTCTTAAATTCAAGTTAATGATGAATTGGAGATCAGCAGCTAAGTAGACACTGTGAAAGAATAAAACAAGATTTGCTATGAACAAGGAAGGAACAGACCAGGGGTCAGCCAATGGGTCAAACCTGGCTGCAGACAAATTTTGCATTTGCTGTCTCTGGTTGATTCCCTGAGTGAATAGTTGCAACAGACTGTGTGGCCCACAAGCCTCATATATTTGCTATTTGGAATTTTACAGAAAAGTTTACTCTTGCAATAGGTACTTTAACTTTGCTGTCATGTCCATAGACTCTTCTCTAAGAGCTTCCAAGAGAGTGCATGAAGGTCAAGAGAAGGCTAATTTACAAGGTAAATACAATGCATGAATACCACAAGTACAGAAGCTGGAAGGTAGAGAAATAAAGGTTGATAAGCCAGTGAATAGCAAAAGAAGTATGAACAGTAGTAAGGGACTTTAAAAATACTGATGCCCAAGGCAACTAAATCACAGTATTCCACCCTGGTTTATTATTAAAGTTCCTCAGTTGATTCTACTGTACAGCTCTCAAAGAGAAGCACTGACCTAGGAGGAATAGCAAATGCAGAGTAGCTGAGTGATGTCAATGATGTAAGCACAACAGTAATGAACCAAACCTTAACGAATGAACCTTAACCTGCTGTTAAGTTGCCCAGAGATGTTCGAATCCAGTTCCCATAATCAATGTTGTTCCTATATTTAAATTTCTATTAAAGCCCCATATTCCACATTGTTCAACATATTTATATACAATAAACCCCTATTAATTAGATAGGCTAAGTGATTTTTCATTTCTTGAGACCAAAAGAGCCAATTTAGCTCAGAAATACAGTCGCATGAAACCGACCCCCAGCAGAAATATAAAACATTTGAAATTGTTAGAATATGACAATAAGGTGAAATATCATACACAATTCCCTCCAGATACCAGGATTCAATGTTTTTTAGAAGTCCGGGTTATGTTGTGTCAAAGCCACTAATTAGACAATTGCCTTCGTGACTCATACATACACCCACTTAAGGTGAAGCACTGAGGCAATTGGTAGTGGCTGTATTACAGCAACTACAAAAATAAGGAAAGTAGGGTTTGACAGTTATTTCTCTTCTGACAATGATGTGCAAATTCCAATATAACCATGAGGTGCTGACCCTGGAAAGCATGACTGTATCTCTGTCATAGCTAGACATGGTGCTCAGTTACCATTCTAATAGGCATGGAATAACATGGATTAGATCATAGGTTACTAAATTTGAGAACCACTGGACTAAATGTGTCCAGTGTTCAGGCTTTTACAAATATACTCTCACATCCTTCTAAACACCACCACCCTATCTATCATCACAGCTGTAGCACAGCCCTAACGACCAGCTTTTGTTTCACATTATCTAGTGTTACATCCTCTCCACTGAGCACAGTTGATGGGATCAATCCATACATTGCCAGCAGCTTATGACATGTCTAAACATGAAAAGGCAATACTCTGGTTTCTCTTCAGATCGTATAAATCTTTCACCTTTTTTAAACATGAAAAGGCACTGCACAAATGAAAATAAACTAGGCCAATTACATTCTCACTCTTTGGAATTTAAGCAGAAACAATCAATGAAAACTAGGTCATTACCAGTGAAAGCTGAAGCTGAAAGCCTCATCAAAGTAGGGTAGTGGCAAAGTCAGTCAGGAGGATGTAAAAAAATAGTAGAGAGGAGAATAGAATGTAGAATAGCAAATCAAATAGCTGATTTAATTCAAGTCAACAGCACAATGGAAAAGGTCTACAAAATTCAATATGCTTAAGTTCCTAGAGCCACCACAGACATAATTTGATGCCATATTGAAAGATTTCTATGAAATCTCTATCTTGTTTGCTGTGGATATCTTACTATGTGTATCTATACGGTAAATGTCTATATCTTGAGCTAATCCTGTGTTTTATTTCTTTCTTTAAAAACTATTTTCAATGTGAAGTTTTTAATGATGTTATAAAATGAACAATGGATTTAAGTTCTTATTTTTGCAAAAGATTACATATTCTTTAATCTATCTTCATCATGTATGCAAACATTTTTCTTCCCACATTATAATGTGTCTGCCATGTTTATGTACAATTTAGAATGGTACCTGGAACTTGGTAAGAACTGTATGTTAGTTGTTACCTTTATCAGTGTGAAAACTAGTCAAAAGTCCATAGAGTTAAATACTTGAAAAACTGACCACCTTCTGCACCCTGTAAAACACTCACCTAAAATAAAATTACTTGAAATACATAAAATAGTATATCATGTGAGTATATGATTGAAAGAAAGCTTTTGGGGCACTGGGAATCTATCAGTTTATGTGTTTATGAATAAAGGGGAGGTGGCACTTGAAGATGCTAGGTCTTATTTCTTGAAACCAGAAATCCTATGTAATTTAGAAAATAATGTAGAGTTGGGATACATAACCAGAACTTTGGCAGGAAGTAAAATATTTAGGCCTGGTTATTACTTGGTGGTGGGGCACAGAATAGACAGACCCACCACAACCCAGGCTAGAATGTTAAGGGTCAATGAAGTTAGGTTTTGGTACAATCACAACAGAGAAAACTAAAGAGGTCAAAAAGATCACAGATAGGTGGATACTTCTAAAATTGGCAGGGAAATTTCTAAAGTGGCCTCATGACATCACCTCAGACTGTAGCATTTGTCTGGACTTACTCTCCAACATTTCTGCTTAAGTAAGAGCTGGAAAAGTATAAACAGAAGTATCTTTAGAAACGAGAAAAATGAAATGAGGGTCACATATGCTTAGTGGTCCAAGATATAGAAATGCAATACAAACACACCTGAATCAAGTGGTGGCTATATTCAGTCTCATCCAAGGCAACCTGTTTCATTCATAGAGCTCTGGAGATGAGGCAGTCTCAGAGAGCAATGAATTTTAGTATATGACCTATCCTGTCATCTAGAGCAGAATGTACCAGGTGTGAGACACACTACCTAAGTGCTATGTCATTACATGACTCAAAAACTGACTACCTAAGCAGGGGTGAGTTAAGTCACTTAAATCCTTGCATTGAGGAATAAACTTTGTGAAATGCAAAAAGAGTGAAGCAGAAGGAACTGAATATTAAATGACAGTGCTGGGAAACATGAGGTACAGCTAAGGACACTGGTGCAATAAGCAAAGTTTAGTAACGAATAACTGAAAATTTATGAGGAAGCAGAATATAAATAAATCTAGGAAGTAAACTAAAGCTCAAGTGATAATGAAAAAGGCAAAAAAGCAGAGAAAAAGAGGAATTATTTCATTTTCTTTAGTTTTTAATTCTTATTCAAATACAGGATTTTCTTTATTTGGACTCCTATGAAACTTTTGTCTACCTTAGAAGTTGGCCACGCATAGTCGTGGGTGGTCCAAATTGCCTCACTAACCCAAATAAAATAAAGAGGCTACAATACCAGAAATTGCTAACAGGATTCCAGCCATAACTGAAGCTCCCCAAAAATGTGACTCTGCTGGAACTGGTTAGTGTCACAGTAGGAGATAAGGAAGTGAGAATCCCCCCCTCATATATTAGAATAGAATGATAATAGCCACTGGAGTTCATCTTCGGAACTCTATGAGTGGAAACTCTACATGATAAAGCTGCTAATTAGGCATTTAAAAACATCAAAGATGAGGCTGTGAGGGATCTGGGAACTGCTAACTGTTGCAATAGAATAACTTCCAAGTTTCTTTTTAATGGCCAGGTGGTAAATATTTTAGGTTTTGCAAGCCATATGGTCTATGTCACAACTACTTTGCCATTGTAGAATAAAAGCAGCCAGAGACAATACATAAATGAATGTGTGGCTGCTTTCCAATAAAACTAAAATCTGAATTGTGTATAATTTTCATACATTATAACGTATTATCCTCCTTTTGAATTGTTTCAACTGTTAAAAAATGTAAACACCATTCATCACTCATAGGCTGTAAAACAAAAACAAAACAAGTAGTGGGCCCATAGGCCATAGTTTTGCTGACTCTTGGTATATAGAAATGGAAGGTTGTAACAAAGATGGTCATGCAGGTATTTTTTAACCTGAAAGATATTATATTTAACATACTCAAGAATACTCTAATGATGGCAAACTTTCTTTTTAATGGACTACTCCTGTTCTTTTTTAAAACTATCTTAACCATTTTTAAGCATATAGTTCAATAGCATTAAGTATATTCATACTGTTGAGCAATAAATCTCCGTTATCTTTTTCATCTTGCAAAATTCAAACTCTATACCTGTGAAACAACTCCTCATTTCCCCCCTCCCCTCAGCTCCTGGCA